TAAACCTAACGCAAAAAAAATATTTATTGTTATAGTCTCAATGTGAACCTTGATATTGATTCGTTGTGTATCAATGCTCCGTGATAGAGATCAGCTCGATCCCCGCTCAACTAAATCGAAATCGCGATAAAAGATGGTACAAATGTCTCCAAAGCTTAGTTTTATTTTTTAACTATAACTAATTGTTCTTAAACAAATAATTCCATAAATCCAATAAAAAATGAACAATTTTTACTGAATTATAAAATTTGAAATAAAAAGTTAAAATAAAGATAAATTATCAGATATAAAAATCAGTTTGTCAAAATGAGAATGAAAAGTGTGACTATAAGTTTTTCAATATTTGTGATATTTGTACTACTTCTGACGACAGTTTCGGCAGGACGCAAATTTCGTTCCAGGCATAGAAAAAGAGGAGTGTTAAACCATATAAGGTAGATCAATTTGTAACGAATTAGAAATATATTTTGAGCACACTATAACATAAATTAAAATAACATTCAATACGATAACACTATATCTTTAAGATTATGTTTTTTCTTTCAATTTTATTTATTCCATATTATTTAAATTTGATCCTGATTATTTTTTAACATGACTGAGTTCAAAATTACATGTTAATTCCAATATGTGAAAAATAAAAAGACATTATCAACGTGATATTGAATTGTTCTTGCTGTTGCATTTAATTAAATTTTAGCTAGATTTACCAATATCTTACACATTCTGAACTCCGAACGATATTGAATTTAGTTTTTGTTCTTGTGAAATTAATTGAGGTAGTTTTATCACAATTATTCATCGAAATTCAAAATAGTGAAGAAGTTTTTACGGAATAAACGTTGATAAGAAAAAATAGCTCATTGATGTAACGTGAAAAAAAAAATAAAATAAAAACGTATATAAGTGTGTGAAAATAGTAATCCTGGACATAGAAAGATTGCACTAATCTCTGATATAAATAACTATAGAACATTTGTATCATGTGACAAACCACAAACTTTTATTATATGACTTTTATTTAAGTTTTGGTCTTTGTTCATTAATATGTTTATATTGGTGTGTGTTTTGGTTTTTGTTCATAATATGTTTGGTTTTTGTTCATAATATGTTTGGTTTTTGTTAATAATATTGGTATGTGTTTTTTTCCTGGTTTGAATTTGTTAATCTGCGTTATCCGTTACAAGTCGTTTTTTTATTCCTTTTGCAGTAAAAGGAACGACTTGTAACGGATAACACATAACGCTAATTTAGATTTACATATTTTAGATTTAAAATTATAACACACTGATGAAGAGACAAACCTAGTCTCGAAACGTTTGTAAAATTATTATTTAATAAATTAGTGCAAAAAAGAGTGTTGTTTATCTCAGAATACATTTGTTATATATATATATATATATATATATATATATATATGGTTATTATAAACGATATATTTTACAGATATCCAGGAAGTCCATTTAAAGCTCCGATATCATACGCCCTACGGCCAGGCGGTGCTACAGTGGTTTCATATTCTGCCACATCGCCATTGGCGAATTTTAGGAAAATTGTTTTGCCGACGCCAACATTAGTAGTTGGCCAAAGACCTGTACATTTTGATGAAGGATACGTACATAGGCCTATGTTCGTACAAAGGCCCGTGCATCCAGTATTAGGTCAGTAAATTTATTTAGATGATGATGATTATTTGTGCGGATTTAAATAACAAAATTATATAATTTGATTATAAAATATAAATTATTCTGATGTAAAATATAGAATCAACCATTTCCTATGAGTTGGTATATAAAAACTGTTGTTAAATAATACCAATTTTACAACAAAACTGACCACTAATTCAAAACAAACATTTTAAATTATTACCTTCACAGGAACCCACGTCCCTGTCTCAACACCAGCTGTGATCGCTGATGGGCAGCATCAACACATTGTAAACCCTGCCCATCCTGTCCATTTAGGACCCAGACCAGTTGTGGAAAGTGAACCTGTACATTTATATCCCATAAACGTACCATCAACATCAGGCTTTATATTGCGACCTTCCTATCCAGTAGCGCAGGATACTAGGCCTGTTCAGATTACCCTGGTCATTTATATCCCGTGAATGATTCGCCAACTCCTGGCGTAGTCGTGGAAAACAGACCTTCGTATACTCCAGGCCATTTGTTTCCCGCTTCACAACATGAGGATTCAATAAGGCCGGCGCAAGGGCCGATAGTGAATGTGCCGTCTGCACTGCTTCCTGCTCATTATTATCCTGGTAAGAAATGATCAATATACGTAACTATGAAAAAATATTTTCTACTATAATATATGTTTATTTAGCGAACGGATTCGGAATTGGTCCAATCGCACAAATGCCTGCCACCGGTCATGTATATCCAGGAAATGATGAAGCCGGCCCGGCGGTTGCAGCAGTTCCTGCTTACCCATCAAATTATCCAGGAAACCACTATCCAGATAATTCAGCTAGCCCGCCTACTACTCAAGATGGTGCTTATCACTATTATATTATCATTGACGGTAATTATCAGTTCGATTCTTTGGTACGTCGATGCATGCTAAGTTTTGAGGAAAAAAGCATACCCTCGTAGAAATAAATAAAAGATCACCAATAAAGTAATGTATTTATAAGCCAAACTTACAGCGGCTCTTTTAAACGTGTATGTATTGACTATTTATTATATTTTATAATAATGTATTAAGTTCTGTCTTGCATGGAGTTTGGCGTATTATTATTTTTTGAAAGACTACCAAAGAACAGAACTTCGAAATAATATATTAAATAAATAATAAGCTGTTAAAAATTGGATACATTATAAATTTTATTTTTTTACTGGTTCCTTATTCTGATTGTTTGCTTATTATAAATATGCACCAAACTTTATTTCCAATTAGACGTATCAGATGTCAATACCCCATCACACCCAATGCAACATCACGACAATCAGCAACCAGACAATGTTTACTATACTCCTGGAAACTCAGGTAATTAACATTTGTCCAAATTATATTGTATTTCTTTAAATCAGTTCAAAATCGTGCCGATTAGTTATTGATAATCGAGAGACCGTTTCTTTATATTTTTTTCTTAAACTATTTCTTAAGGCGTGTACGTGACACCTTCAGCTGGTGGCCAAGGGTCCACCAGCCAGCAGTCAGCTTGGCAACCAATGATGACCCATCATTCTTCGCAAGACTCGTCCAGAAGTGCTGGAAGCGACGGTTACCATTATCATCAGCCGCACGAAATGGCTTCAACACCTTCTGTTGGCTTACTTCCGCCTTACGGAAGTCAACATGGTGAACGACAAAATCAACAATACCACAGATATGAATATACAGATTATTGATTTAATCACTATTTTAGTTAATATCGATGATGTATAACTCAAAGCTGTTGAATTATTTATTTTAGGTTAAGTAAATATTAAAAAACATAAGACATATAATACTTTAATTCAATCTGATAAATGCGTTCTTAGAATAATTAATTTAAATTCATGCTGTTACATTTTCGAAATTCATAGTTATAAGATGACCATATTTTTCTAAGTCAAAACCGGGACGGCAATTTTTAGTTATGCTAATCCGAGACGGGGGGTATATAATAACAGTTTTTTTAAATAAATCTTTTTTTTCATAGGATTTGCGGACTTTTAGTGAGAACTTTATTATTCGATTGTATGCAGTACTTTTTTATCTTTGATATTATATCTTTTTTCGCGCTTTTGAGCCTTGTATAATATTCTATTCAATTTTATTCTTAACTTGAAAAAATTAGCACTTGTTCGTTTGTTTTCATAATATTTGTTAATTTATCTATTAATTTTCGGGACTCCGGGCAATCCGGGACAAAAGATCTAAATCCGGTACAAATAATGCTTTTAAAAAAACACGGGACACAAGGTGGAAATCCGGGACTATCTCGGCCAAACCGGGACGTATGGTCACTTTAATTATCGATTTATTTTTCACAGATTTTATTACCCTTAATCATAACCTCGTCAATATTTTAGTATTTGTTGTTGTTGCGTGTTTTTTGTAATTTGTAAAAATAAATAAGTACTTTATAAATACGTATTTAAAATTTATATTAATTAGCCAAACCATAGTATTCTTATTACATATAATAACTAAGAACGATAAATCATCTTTTCTCTTATAGCTTGCTATTGTAATTTTAAGTCCACTATACGATGACCAAAATACTTCTACATTTTTCTATGCAGACACATATATCAAAATCATAGTACTCATGTTTGCTATTAATTCTATGCAATATTTGTCTGCAATCGGTCGTATTGATTTTTTATTTCAGATATTTATTCAAAGTTTAACTTTTATATTTAGTTTGTTGTACTTCAATTAATTAAAACTAATTTAAGGCAAATATACTATAATATAGGCTAAGGCTAAGCTGATAATCATTATTTGTTACTAGTCCAGATAGAATGATATTTGCAAATAAACATTACATAATATTCAGTAAAATAAAATGTCATAAATATATTTTTAGTTTTATTGATAGGACTTACAAGTTTCCATTTTCGATATCCATCTCCAACAGCTGGCGAAAACATAAACTTCTTCTTCCGCAAGATAGTAATGAAAGGAACGTAAATAAAATAACACCAATAATATATTTCACTTGTATTTTATAGCTAAAACTCCAATAATTAGAAATAAATAATTAAATTAAAAATAAATAACTAAATCTAAAACTAGAACTAGAAAAGTGAGCACATACTGCCAATCAGTAATGACCGCCAATTTTGCTGTCAAAATATAACATGAAGTTTTCCAATAACATGTCGCAAACAGCAATAATATTTTTATGTTGGTACAACAATATTTGATCGAATTAAATGAAATTTATCGATAATATGATTTGTCATTCACAAATTAAATCTATTATTGTGACTATTACTTTAAATATTTATACTAAAAATTAATTAAATAAATAGTTAATAAATAAATTAAACTAATAATATCTATGCCTCATTTTGAGAGACGTCATCGACATTTTGTAATTTAACAAAATTTTCTTTTTCTTTATCTAATGAAGGAATTTCCTGCGATAAATTAGGTATTTCTGAAGATTCATCATTCGTTTTATCATCTGTCATTGTTTTGTTATTGTTATCAGCTGGAGTCGTCGTAACGTTTTGTTTCGCCGTTTCATTTGTCAGTGGTATGGGTCGTTTGCTTCCATGGTCAGCATTAGATCCTAAATTTGAAATAATACTAAGACTAAATAGTAAGATCAAGGTACATCTAAATCAACTTTAGATGTGAGAAACAGAATTTGATACAAATATTTCAACTATCTCCATGAATATTCAAATCTAATTTATGTTTCAATTTCATACCTTGATTCGCCATGACGATAAAGACTTGATGTTGCTGGGCCATAGTTTGTGGTTTCTTTTTGTTGATGCCTGCAACAGATGACATTAGACCCGCCGGAAGTTGAATTTGTACAGGTTGATCCGTGGGGACTGGACGCTCCAAGAATGGTATGTAATTCGGAGAAGAAATAGCAACATGCTCTGGTGCAGCTGAAAGAATTATGATGTGAAATAAATATTTTAAGTTATCATAATAATTGAATATTTAAAAATGAATTTTTAGCAATCATTTTGAAATCCCGTTAAAATGAATTAAATCCGTTAATATAAAAATCCGTTTTCGTTGTGCAAAATGGCCGCGGTCTCAAAAATGGCCGCGGCAAATTTGAAAATTTAAAAATTTTAATAGATTTTGTCGAGTTATAATAACAAATAATTAATAAGTTTTTATCCACTCATATAGATCAAGAATTGGTCGTAAAAAATTAATAACATTTAATTGAAAAACATTTTTATTAATTTTTAGCAAAGTTTAAACAAAATATTCCTTCTAATAGGTGAAAGCAATTCTTAGCTCTGACAATAATTAGTCTTATCATTTATTTTAAATTTCAATTTTTGTTACAAATGCTATTAAAACAAACTAATAACACTAGATAATTTTGATTAAAATACAATAAAAATAACTGGCAAGTGTGTCCATTAAAACTCACCCATAGGAAAATCTCCTACATCGCTAGGACCTTCAGTAATAGTTGAATTGTCAATTGTTAAGCAGTTTGGAGGATATGTTCCTGGTGGGCAGAAACATTCGTAGGAACCTTCACTTGCCGCGCGTGAAACACATCTGCCTGGACCGCAAGTTTCCGGATTCTTTTCACAATAGTTCAGTTCTTTAAAGAAAAAAAAACACATAATAGTTAACATTATTTGCAAACTTTTTCATTAGTTACATATGAAATATCATTAAATGAAAATTATCATAAAATAATATTATGCCTAATTTTGAACCATTTTTAATAACTTAACATAATAACAAACTACATGCATTTTTACGAATGCTTTTAAAAAAAATTGCTTAGATTTGAGTGGATTAGATATCTTTAATTATATATCATTTCTGAACAATTTATTCTTTATTTTATGTGGCTATAAATTTTAGTTTAATATTTTATTAGTTAGTTTTACTAATCAGCAAAAAAAGTTTTTTTATAATTTTGTTTTATACTTTTACATAAATATTTGATTAATAAAATATGTATTAATATTAAAAACTAATATATGTTTAATTACATATGTCATTTATAACCGATATAACATGAATTATGAGTATGAAATTGAAAATATTCTAAGTTGATTTGCTTTATTCTATAAACAATACTATTTCTGATAATCTTGAAATAATTTTGTACTTATAATACACGTTCACTTTTGACATTATTATATATTACATTTGCAAACTGTACGAGCCACGCCCAATGATTTTAGTATTTAATTAGCATTTATATTATCTTGTTCTATATTTAAAGCATGGTATAAACGGTAACATATAAGTTTATTTTTCTCTATTTAGATGCAAACTAAAGTTAAAAAGTGGTTCACTAGATAAGCACTTACCACTTAGAACTCATATAACGTATAACTTTTTTAGGAAAGATAATTTAATATGTAATAAATAAGTTAGCTTATGGCATTAATGGGTGAAGGTATATGACTAACAGTTTACTTCAATTATGGGCAATTTATTTTTTTGCAGTTTTTTAACTACAATTTGTATAACACTAAATAGGTTACTATAATTATTTTGAAACTAATTTTGTTTTGTACGGTAAACTTCAGAAGGATATATTTTTTCATATTTAATAACATTATAACAAAACCTTTAATAATTTTATATTTAACAATATATCTTTTATTTTAGGCATAAAAAACACTGATGGAATATTACCTTCATCACAAAGCATTCCACCCCAGCCTTGTTCACATCGGCATTCCCAAGGTCTGATGCAAGATCCATGCTCTTTACTACAGCCAGGATAAGGATGACATTGTGTGCAATTTGGACCAGTCCAACCCAATCTGCATCTGCACTCGCCTGGACGTCTGCATGTACCTCGTTCGCGATCACAATTAGCTGCGCATATTGCTAAAAAAATAATTAAATAACTTTATAATCACAATAAATAACATAAAAATTGAATGAGTATCAACTGTTTGATTTTCAGTTAAGAGATTTTTTTAATTACTCACGTGTCTGACATAATATGCCTGTATATCCTGGTTTGCACCTGCATTCTAATGGTTTTCTACATGTACCATGCCTGCATCCTGGTAAAGTTTGGCATTCTGTGCAGTTTCTGCCCTGCCAGCCTAGTCTGCATCTGCACTCATTCGGAGCCTCGCAATAGCCTCGGGCAGGATGACAATCTGATCTGCATAAGGCTGAAAATATATGAATATGACATAAAAATACATATTTGACAGTGACTGGAATTAAATTGGATTAGAATAGGGTATATTGAATGTACTTACGTTCACTGCAGAAAATACCATCCCATCCAGGAAGACATTGGCATTCAAAACTCACGTTGCATATCCCATGTTGGCATCCTGGTAATGGAATGCATTTGTTACAATGTTCTCCATAAAATCCCAACTTACATCGGCATTCGCCGGGTCTTTTACAGTAACCTGCAATTATTCAGTTTTAATTAATTAGAAGTTAGAAGATTGCCAGTATTTGAATAATCAATTGAAAAAATTATAAAATCATGACAGTATAATAAATCATTAATTATTTACCTTGGAGCGGATCGCAACCTGGTCTACATTTAGGAACATCACACAAATCACCGGTCCATCCAGGTAAGCATCTCAATTCTCCATCATCGTCACATACATAATGGCTATGAGCATTCTGAGATGCTGGCACTTCGCAAGCCTGCAAGAGCAAAAATTTACTATATTCGTAAAATAATAAAATATATCAAGATTTTAAAAGCATTTGTCTCATAAAATCGATACGTTACTGATAGGCAAATGAACATTAACAAATAGTAGTTAACCTGCTCATGGCACTTTGCAAAAAAATACAAAGTTAACTCTCAATTTGCGTTAAAATTCCATCATCGCCTCTTATTATGTTGAGGATAATAATTGTTTGATTCTAACAATTTCAATTGAAAAAAATATAAATTTAATATTACTGAGAAGCTAAAATTGAGAACTGCAAACACATTATCGAAAGCATATCGACGACCAAAATAGATTTGTGCTTGAAATCACAAATAAAATTTATCAACAGCAATTTGTTTCTACACATAAACAAATTAAAAAAAAATTAGATAAAAGATATAAGTTAAAAGATTTATCTGACAGAATCTAATTAATATAACTATTAGTTTTGATATATTACTTTTCTAATTGTTTTCAAATCGTGCATACACTAATTATTTGCAAAATTAATTTCTAGAATTAGTCATTATTTACACGTAAATAAACAATTTGCTAAACAGTCCATTTGAGTTGCACAATTTGAAAAGTCTTGGATATCAAGTTACAAGAAATCTATATATCAATTTCTCATTGGTAATTTATTCTATTCTCCGTTCGCTTTAACTTTGTCGCTTTATAGAGGTCGATATTATAGAAAACAATTTATAATCAATAATACAAAGTCAATTTATTATTACGGTACAGAAATTATCGCTAACTAGGTGTTGTAGTGGACACATGGTACTGAAATTACAATATTATAAAAAAACTTTTTCTCTATATAAAGATTCAAATCTCATATATTAAAGGTTGAAGTACTCAATAACGCAGTTCACACTTTATATACAGAAATTTTATGTCTTATACGTCTTATTATGTCTTTCGCCAGTATTCTAATATTTTTATCAATACTTTATCAATTTATTATCATCATTTCACTAATTATCATCGAATGACAATGACAATGACCGATATGGTTTCAAATATGATATAATTCTTGAAGTTTTTGAAGCTTTAATGCATTGGCATCCACAAATAAAATTAATTATTCCTTTAATAAGGTAGTCATCAAAATTTACAATATATATGTTACAACAGTATTACTCAATTCTTTACATTTTAGGAATTGGAGGTAACATTTTTACCTCCACAATTTTATTGCTTAATTCAAATATTTTAATATGAAAGATATAAATCAAGTTAATAATAATAATAAAATTTGCAATTTGTTTTATTTGTTACAAAGGCATCTTGATTTAAATAAATCCGTGTTTGAGTCGATAGTTACTCGTGATCGATTCAAAAACATTAAGCAAGTAGTTTCGAAAGGCGTTATAAATATTATATATATATATATATATATATATATATATATATATATATATATAAATATTATGGGGCACACCTTCGCTAGTATTCACAAACTCGGAACAATCTCTTGTAAAACCAACTTCATTCAAACTTCAATTACTGCAAATTAATAATAAAATATTTCACAATAATTCGAAATTTTAGATAGAACAATACTTTCTCTAGTAATTATTTAATTAAATTATTATTTCGTCAGATTTTCTGTACGATTATCTTCTTGCTCCTAATGCAACGTATACTTTTACCAAGATTATGTAATAAAAAGGAAAAATAAAATATGAAAAGTATAATATCAGAATGCAAGTCCACTGTTATGATTGACAATTCTAACCAAAATAAGTTTTTTAGCATTATTTTTTTATCAGAACTACATATTCTATAAGCTGTGTTTGCGGTCTTACATTCTCAGTGAGAATTTCTTACCTGGTATTTTTATTGAGAGTGCAACCAAGCGGTCAACCACCCTTCTTTTTTATGTGTAAACTGTATTTATCTCAATTATATATATCTAATAGTGTTGGCATGTATGTGATGAAGGCTGCTTCAGCAATGCCCACAATAAGCGATGTTATAGTCCAGTCATTATAGTAAGTTCACCTCGGAATTTGAGATACCCAGCTGTAAGTCTGTAAATACTTGTATACTGACACCCTAAAGTTGTCTCAAAGCCTACATATGGTGTTGACACCCTACCATATGTAGGTTTTGAGACAACTTTAGGGTGTGAATATACAAGTTTTTACAGACTCACAGCTGGGTATCTAAAATTCCGAGATTCTTATCTAATTTAAGATTAAATGACTGGACTATTATGATGCGGTTATCGAGGTATGAGGTTATCGATTTAATAACCTTGAAAGAAAATTTGATATCATGCTGCCTGATATCGAACTTGGAATCGAACGCGGGATCAACCAAAAATAAGAAACACTCTATTATTTTTACCTGTTTTTTCCATTTTGGTACATATCTTACAGCAGGTAAAACAGCTGTGATGCAAATTGCTAATATGAGCGCCAGTTGCAGCGGCGACTGCATCCTGGAAAAGTAAAATACATATTTTATTTATATATCATATTATATATAAACATATAATAATATATGTTTTGCTTACAATTTTCAATATGTTTAGCATTTATATAAAAGTTCATACAAAATTCTTTTGATATCATTTGTGACTTAGTGATCAAAATCATTAGTGTATCATTTTGATCACTATTAGCCAGTGATCTATCAATGTGTCTTTCTAGGTCTACTTGGAATAGGTATAGAAAAAATTCTGCTTTCCATAATTTTTTTTACAAAATTTTAAGTAGTGTAATATTTTATATCTAAATTCAAGATTATCGACAAAATTTATATATCAATTTATAATATGCGGTTAAACAACACTTATAAGGTGATCATATTTTTTTGCATAAAATCCGGGACGGATTATAATGTGTGTGAGAGCGGGGGGGGGGGTACTTTGTCGGTGAACTAAAATTTTATTTGCACATTTATATGAGATATATTAAAAAAAATTGGAAATCAAAACATTTTTAAAAATCCGGGACAATCCAGGACAAAACACCTAAAACCGGGACAAATATTGCCTTTAGAAAAAGCCAGGACGTATGGTCACCTTAATACTTATTGCAAAATAATATTTGCTTAATCGATTCTTTACATCTCATATGTATTTATCAGTACGATTTGATTCTATTGCATTAGTCCACTAAGCAAATATAAATAAATCTTATCACTTTCAAATAAAACTTTCTGTAACTAGCGACAACCGGTATGGCAAACCAAGGCAAACATATAAATTAAAATATTTAATATTAATAAAGCAGCCATTCATACTATTAAAAACATTTTGCAACACATTTTAGTATATAAAAATAATTATATAAGTTGCATCAAACACGTTAATTATCGTTCAAAGTCAACTAAAATCTTGTTTGTGAAATACTTTTTCAAAAAATAAAAAGCAAAACGTTGACATAGATTTTTGCGAAATTAGCATTTGTCTATTGTGTTTATATAGTGTATCGTATATTCTATTGTTTTATCACCTTAATTTTTTATGAAACTAAAATGTACAAAACGACTAAATGTGTTAACGCTAAAATTGCGTTGGCTCTAAGGTCAAATTATAATTTATATTGAAAATAAAGTTTCAGTTTAATATACAGTCAAATTATAATTTATATTGAAAATAAAATTTCAGTTTAATATATTGAAGTTCCATTTATAAAAGTTGGTGGAATTTCTATGTGTATTAGAATAATTATTTATTATGGTTTAATGAACTTAGAGTTCACCTGATGCAGGAAATGACCAGGTTCTAATAAAAATGAGAAATATTTGTCGTATTAATTTGTTAGTGCACGCCAGCTGAGAAAAAGATCAATGAACTTCGAATGAATATTTATCTCTGGAAGTTCGACGTATTTTAGTTCGAATAGATACGTACGATTAGTTGCTAAAATTGCCGGTAAAAACGAAAATAGTAGATAATATAATAATAAAAACTTGCTCATAAAACAGTTCCAAAAATCTGATTAAAATTGTATTTTTTTTAAATTGGTAAGAGTATATACATTAAACAGCAATTAGAACTATGTGTTGTAAAGGATGTGATTGAGTAAATGTAAGGTGTTATAAAAAATAACCCAACGGATTTCTTTTATAATTTATTTTTAATTGTGATCACATATTTTAATGCCTCAAAAAGGTATTTTCACAGGAAATCATATTTAGATCTATATTTTCAAGTAAAAATGACAATTTTATCTTCTATATATATAAAAATAAGTCGGGTTTTCCTTCTTGACGAAATAACTCCAGAACGCACGAACCGATTTCGACAGTTTTGCATTCGTTGGAAAGGTCTCGGGCTCCGCAAGGTTTATAGCTAAGAAAATTAGTTGTGCATGGCATCGTGCCTGAATGCAAGCTGCTGGAACTACACGCATCGTAATTAAAAATTTGAGTAATGACATTAGTGGTAATTATCAGAATTATGCTTGGTTAAGTCAACGAGAAATTCTTGCCGCAAAGAATAATGATGATCACGCACTGAATTTCACAATTCAATCAAAAATTGCTGGCGATTTTGTGACATACCAATAATTCCGACTGGTCTTCCGTTTGACTTCAAACGATTGCAATTTCCAATTCGCCTTGCGTTCGCAATAACAAGTCGCAAGGCCAATTGCTTAGTGTTTGCGGAATAAATTTCAAATAGATTATTTAGAAAATCATTGTTTTTCACATGGGCAGTTATACGTTGCCTGTTCACGAGTTGGAAAACCATCCGCTTTGTTTGTGTTAAGGTCAGACCAAAAAACAAAAATTGTGGTTTACCAAAGAGCACTTCAATGAAACGGATAATTTACTTAGAGAAGTTCAACTATAAAACACTTCATTTTTGTAATCGAAATAAATTCATTACTGTTGTATAATAAAATCAAATTTTTCCTTTCCAAATATAAAACAAACGAAAAAATTCTTCATCTTTCTCACGAAACCATCTGGTGGCGAAACGGAGTTCGTCGGGTTTGCTAGTATAAATATATTTACTAATTCATTAATGACATTAGCATTCCACATTTTCTCGATTTAAAGCAATAAATCGAAGAAACAAGACCTATTCTCTATGTAGTGAATACAGAACATTCCTCGACCATATTTTTAGTAATTAGTTTAGTATAATATATATATATATATATATATATATATATATATATATATTAGAGCAGATCTATAAAATAAGGGATAAAAATAAGATACTTTGCCGAAGAAACCATATCTCTAAAATGAATTCTGATATCCCGAGCATTGACCCAAAGATTGGAGTCAAATTTTGAAAAAATCCGTTTTGGCTCATTTAGAGCGTCTCAATGGCGCCCAAATGTATGACTGACCTCCACTAGTTTTGTAAGGCCAAGTCCGTGATTCACCCTCCGAGACTCCCACTTCCTGGAAGATCTCCCATACAAAAATTGCGAATAATCATCATTTTTTCTTCTTTACGTAACAAATATTAAAAAATGTTTTTTTAAAACTGATTCTTTCCAGATCATACATGCACATAAAAAACTTTTTCAAAAAAAGAAATATTTACATGTTAGGCCATTTTGACTTTGAGAAGCTATTGAGAATATAAAACATATCGCTCCCTGGACAGTATTAGATTGGCCAATATTAGTTTCTAATACTACTTTTAAATATTAGTTTTTTTTCGAAACTGGTCTCGTGTAAAAGTGTGTGGACATGTAGAGTACATACTATTGAATATGTTCGCCGGTCACAAGCCTTGCTCGTTCGTCATACGGTATGTTGAAACTTTCACCAGGTGCGCTTTTTCAGTGCAAATAAAAAATCAATCTCTAAATATAAAAAAGTACAAAAAGGTGTTCCAGTTCTAGTTGCATTTGTAATTATTTCCCGATATTAATAATCAAATCCCAATAATCAAAATAATTGAACCTTATGTACTTGCGGAAACTTTGGAATTAAAGCTTCTGGAAGGAAAAGTTTGTTCTCGTAAAAAATCCGATTTGCTAATTTCATGTTTTATCAAATTATTAAGTTATTCTAAATCATTTGAAACCAAATTTGGTAAAAGTGTTGACATTTTCTCAAAAACGGCTGCCCCGATTTTAAAAATTTAGAAGCCATTCGATGAAGCTCGATAAGCACTCGTGTTGGTTAGTGTTTCAGGAGGATCGGTCAAGTCATTTCTTCAGAATTAGTAGAAAAGGGCAAAAATTTTCGTCAAGTTTTTGTGAAAAAATCAGAATCCATTTTAAAAACTCCTAAACTATTTGAAAGATATCATTTGCTAATCGTGCTGTCTAGTCTTTCGGTCAGTTCTTGGTCTTCTTGAAAATACTAATATATTAGATATGATAAGTTTTATTATAAAAATTAATTAAAGTTGAAATTGATCACCCTCGCTTTTAGAAAAAAAAACGTGTAGAGGAAAGTTCCCAAGTGGCGGACACCTAAAGGACTCTACAAAATGTTTATTAAATTATGATTTATGTTAGATAATAAAGTTAGAAATCAAACTAAATTAACAAAACCGCATTTTTTTTTAAAAAAAATAATTAAAACTATTAATCAAACTTTGCAATAAAAAAATATAATTTTAAACAGTGGCACCTGGTACCGGACATTTCAAAATTGATCACATATGTAGCCATCACCACACTCTGGAATGTGTGCACATGTGTCTTCGATGAATATTCTTATATATTGCAAAAAAAAGTCACTATTCATCCACCCTTTTGGCTGGGCCACACCGATGCTCTCAGCTAGTACATTCATAAACTTTTCATTCTTTGACTAGGAAATACAAAAAATGTGGGTATGTAGTGACCGTTAGCACTCACACAAAATAAAATTAAATAATTGGAATGAATTACGTAAATTCTAAACTCGCTTAAATAATACGTGTTAAATAGAGTGTCCGGTCCTTGGTGCCGTCCGGCGTTACGGGACTTCCCCCTATTTAAACCATTTGTCGAAAATAACTGATATGATTTATAAATTTATCCAAATTAAATAATGTGAAATAGTGTCTCATATTATACTGCTCTCAGTAACTCAGTATGCTTACATATAACTCATAAATTAATATATTGATTTCTTATTGATTAAGCTGAATATTTACACATGACGGAAAGTTCACAAATCCTTAAGGTAAAAATGCCACCTAGTTATTATATTATATAGCATTCCAAACTTCGAATGTATAAAATATATGTAGAGTGTTTACTTTTATTACTTTTATTTTTGACAAAATTCAAGTAACATTCTTGTTTTGCATGAAATGCTCTTCTACAATTCAAATATGCAGAGTTTCATGTCTGAGACATTGAGAACTGCTAAATATCTTTCTAGTGATAATATATTTTAAACAAAATATTTATAAATCGATTGTAAACAATAATAAATTGTTATGCACATCGATTAAATTTCTGCATTATGACATATGAATAGCAGATGTACTACACTGAATAATGTCCAAATTATAAAATTGGTTTT